CGAGAGGCCTTGCTGGAAAAATTGAGACTGAGCTCTGAGCTCGACCTCCTCGGGCGTCGTTGCGCTAGACCGTCTAGGCGAATCCACGGGCTGCTCTGCTCGACGGCGCTGATGTCACCACCACTCAGTGCAGGAAAATGAGCTGGAAACATTCGCTGTTTCCGAGTAGCCCCAGAACGATGAATACGGTGTCGAGTCTCACAGATTGTTCCCCACGCACTGGTGTGGAAGACTGATAGAATAGAGGAAAGGATGACCCGCAACTGGGCTCTGATTGGTCAGGATATCATCCCAAGTCACGTGCTACTACACATGCCCAGGTGGAACTGAAGGCCATCCTCTTTGTGAATAGAAAATGCTTTGGAACTGTCGTGAGCCTGTGGCTCAGATACCTACTAGCTCTAACTCTCGCAGCATACGAGTGAGATACCGATACCCACCTGCGTCTCGGTAGGGGGCCAGGGCAGCTGTTCCAACCCGGGATCGCCGCGGGCAATAATAAGCTGCCACGGCTGCCACTGCCACTCAACACCAACACCACGCCTGGGCGCACGACACCACGACCACAACACCACGCCCCAGCAAGCCGCCACAATGGACTTCTCGAGCATCAAAGACCAAGTGAGCAATCTCACGCTCTACGACCTCAAGGCCGGCGTGCGAAAGGTCCAGAATGGTACGCATGCAGCATCCGCGCGGTCGTGCAGTTGCTAACACACCAGGGCAGCGGTGATGAACTACACAGAGATGGAGGCGAAGGTGCGGGAAGCAACTAACAATGAGCCATGGGGTTAGTGAGACTAGTCTCATGGTCGACAGACTGCTGAACAGCTCCAGGCGCGTCCTCGACTACGATGCAGGAAATCGCCAATAGCACATTTAATTAGTGGGTTCACCTCCACCTGGCTGTCGAAGCTTTCACTGACTTGGGTAGCCAATTACTGAATGAGATCATGCCCATGCTCTACAAGCGCTTCACAGAAAAGGCCGCTGAAGAGTGGAGGCAGATTTACAAGGTACAGCGGCCCTTGGCAGCGGATTGTCCACTCTAATATCTCTAGGCCCTCCAACTGCTCGAATTCCTCATCAAGAATGGCTCCGAACGAGTCATCGACGATGCGCGCTCCCACGTCTCGCTCCTCAAAATGCTGCGGCAGTTCCATTTCATTGACCAAAACGGCAAAGACCAGGGCATCAACGTGCGGAACCGGGCCAAAGAACTTGCGGAGCTTCTCGGCGACGTCGAAAAAATACGTTCAGAGCGCAAGAAAGCACGGTCAAACCGGAACAAGTTCGGTGGCGTGGAGGGTGGAATGGGCATGGGCGGCTTCTCCGGCAGCGGAGGCTTCTCAGGCGGGAGCGGCAGTGGCGGTGGCAGTGGCAGCAGATACGGAGGGTTTGGAAGCGAATCCGCCGACTACGGAGGCGGCTATAATGGAGCTGTTTATGGAGATGGTGGCGGCTTCGGCGGAAACGAATCTGGTTTCTCGGACACGCAGGCTCGCCGGGATCGTTTCGAAGAGTACGACGAGTACGACGAGGGTGCAGACTCGGGCACTCCACGGCGTAAGGATCCTGCTCCAGCCCCAACTCACGTCAAGAGGGAGCCCAAGAAACCGGAACCGAAAGCGAAGGCCCCGGAGCCTGTAGTCGACCTGCTTGCGTTCGACGACGAACCCGCACCAGCTGCTTCTTCAACAGGAAAGCAGCCCGTAGCCGCCGGGGACGATTTCGGGGACGACGATGATTTTGACGACTTCCAGTCGGCCGCTCCTCCCGCGCCAGTAATGTCGTCTGCGAAGCAACCTATTGCACCGTTCATTGCACCGCCCAATTCAACATCCACGATCACTTCATCTACCCAATTCGCAGCGCCTCAACCCCACTCTGCCGCCCAGAACAACAATCTTAACGATTTGTTCTCGACTGTGTCACCACCCCCTAGCAATACCTTTGCTGCTCCGCCAATGTCTGCACCAGTCACAGCGCCATCGAACTTGACCCAACCTCAGCGCGGGCCGTCTGGTTACGCTCCGTCTGGGCCGAATTATTTCACCTCCGTACCCATTGGCTTGGGCCCAGCTCAGTCTGCAGGATCTACGCCATCCAACATGTCTCAATCAATTGGCGGCAACAAGCTAGGTTCTGGAGCCCCCAAGAAAGCCGGAGGCGATGCTTTCGCCTCTCTGCTCTCTGGCGCGGCCCCGAAGAAAAGCACCACCCCGTCGCAGAAGGTCACGATGGCAGATATGGCAAAGCAGAAAACGAGTCAAGGCCTCTGGGGGGCTCCGGCATCTGGTTCCAGCACTCCAGCTACGCCTGCGCAAGGGTCGGGAGCCAAGCCTGGTGGAGCGTTGGGTGATTTGCTTGGGTAACAAGTCGATATACGGATGCCACCGGGTCTGTGTTTGTGATGCGACTAGAAGCCCCTTGGGTGTACAGAACAAAAGCACCCGGAATTACATGTGCTTAGTTGTGGTCTTAAAGTGGCAGACGCGGGAACTTTTGAGTGCACGTCAAGGAGTTTCGAGAATTCCCTTCCAGAGCCACATCTGTCCATATGGACTGAGATTACCTTGCCGTAGACTGCCACTGAATACAAATCGTGAACTCCAAAAGATCCTCGGGGCATTAGCTGAATTTCATACCCCTGTCTCGCCCTAACTAAGTTTAGTTCCGAGCTAGTCCACAGATAGATGCACTAATTTTCATCTCAACACGTCCGCGCCGTCTCACGCCTGTCCTTGTAGGCTTATTCCGCAACAAACCCCCGTCGAGAATGCTTCAATGCAGCTCTCGCGCTTTCTGCTCTGCATAGCCTTTTTTCTTGCGCCCGTCTGTTTCATCGCAACATCATGGCTATATCTCTACCCGTTCTTTCACGGCTGCGACTTCCCAACGCCCTCGAACAGCCCCGGCTCACCCGCCCCTTTCAGACTGCTCGCGCTCGGTGACCCGCAACTCGAAGGCGATTCGTCGCTCCCCAAACCCGACGCGCGCATATTTACCTCGCTCGAATACCTCGTCGATGATGTGCGCCATGCAGGATCGTGGCACCGCCGGCAGCGGTTTATAAGCCATGCGCTGAAGGGCGTGGGCCCGGATTTGCTGAAGTGGTTGAAGGGACTTCGGAAGCGGATCGATCTGTGGGGGAATGACTTATATCTGGCGCATATTGTGAGGAGCTTAAGGTGGTGGGCCGAGCCGACGCATGTGGTCGTGCTGGGCGATTTGCTGGGCAGCCAATGGATCAGCGATGAAGAGTTTGAGAGGCGGGCGGAGCGCTATTGGGGGATTGTTTTTCGCGGTATGGAGAGGGTGCCGGATGCGGTTATGCAGGGAGGTGCACTGGAGGTGCTGGCTGGGGATAAGAGGTGGGAGAATAGGGTCATCAACGTTGCGGGGAATCATGATGTCGGGTATGCGGGCGATTTGGACGAGAACAGAATGGAGAGGTTCGAGAGGGCGTTTGGGATGGCTAATTGGGATATTATGTTTACGCTCCCCACGGCTGTCCGCGATACCAGCAAAGCGTCTCTGTCTACGAATGGCGGCGGCGATGTTCACAGCGAAGCCTCACAACATTCAATACCATCCGACATGTCAGAAACAGGACCCCAATCCGCTGCCGAAGATCTGCCAACTCCTCCCGAGAGCCCACCTGCACTCCGCCTCGTAATTCTCAACTCCATGAACCTCGACACCCCCGCCTTCTCGTCCGACCTCCAGCGCGCTACCTACGACTTCATGAACCATATCATCACCACCTCGCGTCCCGTAACCGAAAAAACACACGCCATAATCCTCCTGACCCACATTCCCCTCCATAAAGAACCCGGCGTCTGCGTCGACTCCCCCTTCTTCGATTTCTTCACCTCAGGGTCCGGCATCAAGGAACAGAACATGCTGTCCGAGCACGCCTCCAAGGCTTTACTCGAGGGTATCTTTGGGCTGAGTGGGAATGAGCAGGCTGAGGGTGGCGGACAGGGAAGGAGCGGGGTGATAATCAACGGACACGATCATGAAGGCTGTGATGTTTTGCATTACATCTCGCAGGCTGGCACGGCGTCGTGTCCGGACGACGAGGTGGATGTCGAAGATATGGAGCTACCGCTTAGCTGTCCCAACTCTGAAAGATTCGCCTCACCGATATGGGACAACACCACTTCCGACGCAGAAGAACTATCCGACACCGACGCAGCCCCACCCCAGGGCCCCCCCGAACCCTCCTGGTCTACCCTCCGCATCCCCCATCCTCCCCACAAATACCCATCCCTCGGCCCCCGCGTCCTCCCCACCGCCACCCCTCGCCTGCGCGAAATCACACTGCGAAGCATGATGGGCGACTTCGGCGGGCATGCGGGATTCCTCTCCGCGTGGTTCGACGCCAGACTCGGTGCCCGTGGAGAATGGGTTTTGGAGCTTGCGACGTGCGGCCTGGGTGTCCAGCACTGGTGGTGGGGTGTCCATGTTGTCGATTTGCTTGCGTTGGTGTTCGCTGTTGCGGGTCTTGTCGTGAGGGCGTTTGAGGGGAGGAAGCCGGCGGGGAGGAAGCCGGCGGGGAGGAAGGTGGTGGGTGGTGGGAAGGCGCAGGGAAGAGGGATGGTGGAGGGTAAACGTTGAACTTTATGTAGGATTGGATGAAAGAATATATTGTCATGATATCTATCTATACTGTACAAACGATGCGCATACTGCTGTCAGCCTGTGAGAACCCGTCGCCGAACCTCTTTCGACAGTATCATAAATGAATCAATCGTAGCAATACTTTCTTTCACAGGGTGAGTGATAGCACACACTTTATTTACTTCGAAGGCAACAACAATACAATACAAAATATCATAGACGTTTGACCTAGCCGCACGCACGCTCTACATTTCTCAGCCTGTTTCCCCCCACACGTACTCACCACCCACCAACAAAAAATCACACCCCTCCCTCCTTCCCTACCCCCTTCCCTACCCCCGCACAAACACAAAAATAAAAAATAATCTACTAAATGCCTACTATCAGAATCGAACTGATGATCTTCGCATGTCCTCCTTTACGGTACAAGTGCGACGCTTTACCACTTAGCCAAGCAGGCGTTTCTGGACGATTTAGATGATTTTCTCGACTAGTAAATAAATAACGGCTTGCAATTTGAGGGGTGAAAGTGAGGGAGGGGGAGTGAGGGAAAGTGGGGAAGGGAATTGTGGGCAGGGAAAGTGCGGGGCGGGGGACGTGCGATGGTGGTAGGGTGGACCAATGATCAGGGGGGCAGGGGTCAGCTGCATATCCAACAGGTTCTCTTAAGTAGACGCAAATATCTATGTAGACAGCGAAGAGGTTAGGAATTTTAAACACTGCGAGGCAAACTATACAATATCTCCTAAACGCTCGTATGCAGGCTTATCCGTGTATCTCCATCTGCAGCTTCAAGAAAATTGCGAAGAGACGTCCTTTCCGCTCTGTACTAGCCAGTCTAGTCTAGTCTAGTTCAATGCATGCCAGACAATGCGCCATACATATATCCTTCAACAACTACTGCAAGTTTACATATAGGAGCAGAAGAACTTGATTCATTTCAATTTTGTGGCTATTGGAAACGCTCAGGCGATGGAATGGTCATCGCTCGTTGGAGTTGCATGTTAGCTTAGCCATGATTGAGACAAGACGAGACCCGCCATGGTGTATGTGCGGAAGCTGTTAGGAACTCCCAAGGTACATGGTCAATGCGTATCTCTATGCGAGATAAGGAGTACGACCACGCCTACACAATATAAGGACAGATTCAGGGCTTGTACGACCTAACGGCACGGCTATTTTTCAGCGCCGAAAATCTATAGAGTAGACCAATGAGAATAAACATCTAGCAGTCCTGTATCAAGGCCGAGCAAATGTCAAGGCCGAGGTCGCAAAAAGCAGCACGGTGCTAGAAAAGCGAACAACGAAATAATGTCTGTGCCCGAATAGCCACAAGTGATACACTCGCATACAGTCATTCCTCTCGGTCAACAGATACCTGCTCTTGTTGCATAGAGAGCCATGGCCTAGTCGTCCCGAACCAGCTCGACGTACCGCTCGAAACCTGTGCGGTACTTGCTGCATAGGATGTTGTACTCGTCCTGGCTGGCGCCCTCCATCAGACGCTTAGGCCACGGCCTTGTCAGCTTGTGCTCGTCCAACCCCCTCATCTTCAACTTGATATCCTTGGACGATCCATGCGGACCCTCCACCAATCCCATAAAACCAACCTCGTCGACGAACCGATTCCAAATGTCGTCCCAGTCAAACAGCATGCTACTGGCGCCAGTGATTCTAGTTGGCTTCCGGTTCCACCATTCATCTTGTCCATCGTTTGATAATTCCTGCACGGTCGTGTACTCGCGTAAGCGGTTCCATGCGCGGGTAGCTAACTCATTAAACTCCCGTGGGTGCGTGCGTCCAAATTCTATTTCCATTTCCTTGAGGTCCTTTTTGAAGAGGAGAAGCAATGTTGCGTGAGGGTTGACCCCGCGAGGCTTGAGAAGGGGAGCGTAGGTCGAAATGGCGGCGGCTGGTCCAAGACAGAGATTGGAGACCTGTGGTGGGTTAGTGTGAGTTTGATTGCTTAAGACCACACCATCTAGAGCTGCGGGCTGTCAAGACCAACATGATTGACAGGTTAGACCGTGGGCTTTTGCAAGGAGAAGGTGTAATGACTGCTAAACTTACCTCGATGCGATCGTATTCCATATGCACTCCCATTGACTGTAGTTTCTGCGGAAGGTCTCGAGCATCCACGGCGTAGATGTGGAACCTCAGTTTGCAGTTCTTGATGCGGTCACAGAATTTGAGAAGAAGATCGCGCAGCATAAAGAACTGATTCCCAATCACATCACCCTTTGCCGGAAGATTGCCCTTCATGATATCCTCGTGGTCCCAGCCCTGATGGGGCTCAGCATCATCTCGCATAGGCCAAATGAAATGGCCATCCGGATAGTAAAACTGATAGTAGATGGGGTTTGGGCTGTCAAAACCGGCGCGCGATGTACCATAAGGCAGAAGAATACCATCATCGAGGAATCTGGCCATGCACATCCGAAATGCGGGTAACTGATAGTAGTAACCATTGTGTTTCATATCAGTCCGCTTCGGGTTGTTGATCTCATCGTTACGAAGTTTCTGCATGATTAGCTCAGACTCGAGGAATGCGAATGAAAAGAAAAGACAGAGATTATAACGCAAGTACACAAAAGTCAACATCTGGCTTACCTTGGCATCTGCTGCAGTGACGTGAGGATCGACTTGCAAGTAGCTACAAAGAACGTTCCAGTATTCTTCGGATAATACAACTCGGAGAGAGCCGCCGGATTCGTGTTTGAGCGTCTTAGCCTGCAATGCATTCGGCGCTTTATGTTCGATCTTCGTGCATATGTGGATGATCAGAGGCAAGATCTTCTCACGCAACATTGTGAGCATCGGTGTTGGAATCAATGCAGAATACCATAGATGAATAATGACAGGTACTGCTTCTTCCTTTGGCAGGTAGAGCGCAATCAAGATGAAGATGATATTGCGGGCGACAACGTCGAAGTCCTTGTCGTTAATCACCGCAGTGAATTGGCCAGCGTATCCGTCGGGTAGGCCAGCAACAGTCTTGATAATGTTGCGAAGATCTCCAGATGCAGCGCATAAGATGTTGTAGTCGCGACTGAGATCCTGAACACCTTCGTTCTTGGGTAGATTGAGAAGATCTAGGGCTGGCATCATACCCCATAGGTACCTGTTGGCGCATACGACCCGAGGATCCTCGCTCCCATCGGCGAACGTAGGAAGACGTCGTTCCTGGACCCATTGTGGCTTCCAGTGCTTGGACATCAGATCCGTTTTGCATGTCTCCTTCTTATGCGTGTGCCAGTGCGCGACTTGGCAGTTTTTGGAGCAGTACTGGACAAGGTGGCATTGAGCACACACCAGAGACGCAGGTTCGGTACATTGTGAGCCACTCGAGACGTTCGCGCACAGCGGGGGATTGATAGAAGCTTGAGCGGCCATTGCTGCCGAGAAAGCCAGTCGAAGTTCCGAGCTGTATTCGATGTTCGCGGTTGAAGTGATAGTTTTTGGTTGTTGGTTGGCAGTGTTGTGGCCGGTCGAGATTCACTGTTTATAAGAGCGCGGCACTGTGCACGGTCATCGCGAAAGTAAAGAAGTGGAAGTCGCTGGCAGTGTTTACCACGCCTTCCACTCGACTTCACCCTAGCAACCACCAACCGCACGACCAAATCTTTCCGGAAACCTGTACAGCGGGACCACTGAGCCGCCTCCAAATTTCGGCGGCAAAGTTTCACCTACCCATAGGTGTAGAGCAAGATGTCGTTCCCGCTTCCAATCGTCGAATACCAAGAGCACCGGGAATACAAGAGAGACATGTTGGAGCAGAAGGCTCTCGAGGAGCGTACCGCAGCGGCCGAATTGTCAAGGATCCAGGCATGGCAAGCTCGCACCGCTCCTGGTAAGTTGAGGACCCAACATGACTGCGGGTGCGCTAACTCTTGTTCGAGGAAACGGCGCAGACAAACCTCTTCCGACGGAGAAGCCACTCCCACCTCTCCCAGAAGGCACCGAGAACCATGACAAGAGTCTGAGAAAGAAACCCAGTAAACTCAAAGGCATGTTTCGTCTGTGGAAGACGAGCAAGGATACTGAAGAGCAGGGCGGCTTGGACGAGCACAAGTTTGAGATGAGCGAAGGGAACAAGACCGAGCCGACCGAGGCCCTTACAGCTCTTCCGCCAGTTGCGCACAGTCCGGCAAAGAGTGAGAAGAATAAAACGCCGAAACGGAAGCTCCGGAAGATGCAGAGCATCGCGAGTACCAAATACGGTGACAGTCCCACGTCGGCATCATTCACCTAGACGGACGCGATGGAATTTGTCAATTGAACAGCGTCCTCTCAATTCATCCCCAACATGGCTTGTGGCAGTGCGAAAGTTTGCGAGAGCAGCTCATAGCGGAGCCTGATTTGTTTTTCTGGCAGTGAAAGGGTAGGCAAGCCTACGGAACAGGGCGATGGAACATGCCTGAGAGGGAATCATGCTAGCTGGTATACCGTCGGATAGCAATGAAAATGACCCTTCACAAAGTGCCGTAGTACCCCAACGTTCGTCGTCATGCCTCATGACCCACCGCGCATACCATCGGCGCCCGCAACCGCCACGCCAGCCAACGCCGATATCGGCATCGTCGGAAGGAGAAAGGCGAAGTCTACAAAGGATGGACGACAAAGCTTGGGATGATGTTGGAATAGAAACGGTGGCGGCTGGTTACACTCGGATGAGCTCCGCACTAGGCGCGATGCGGTTTGGCGCACAGGTGGGTTAGTTTGCCGAATGCGGATGTGATCGAGCACCGCGGTATGGGGATTGAGACAGACGAGGTGCGTATATAATAGCGGTTCTGACAAGTAGAAACGTTTGAATTCACTGGTCGAATAGATCAGACAGGTCGACAAAGAGAAGTCTGCTCGCTTCGATTGACGCACCCATATGCGTCCCTGTCCCTCCCCACATCTCCCAGCAGAAGGAGCCTGCATCATCACCACGCGGTACCCCTCAAATGCCGTCATGCCCCCCGCGCAAACATTCCCCTGGCATTGGCGAATCACCAGCGGGGAATTACTCGCGCCGATAAGAAAGACTGGACGCGACCGTCTGGCATCATAGGTGCATGGCCGACGCAAGCCGCGCGCCTGACGCAAAGCCATGGAAGACTTGCGACTGGGTGGCTAAGGTCCACGATGATCTAGGCGAGAGGTATATATCGGAGGAGGAACGTCGCGTGAGTACTTCCGCTACCGGTCACGTATCTGCTGCGTCAATTGGCGTGGTTGTTCATAGCCAGCTGCAATCGGCTTTGTACCTAACTTCACTACACTGTTCCGTATAAGGGCTTCTCAATTGCCATTTGCCAGTATCAGACCAAGTCTACAGACAACCACAGCGATGCATCCCAATATTCAACATCTCCAGCGTCTCGAGGGTGTCTCTCATCGAACACTCTCCCAGACACCTCGATTCGTACACGCCAGCGCCCGCCGCGATGTATCCGCCGCACCAGCCCCCTC